TGGTGCAATGATACAGACTGGTGTGTTGTGCTTGCACATTTGCATGAATCCTTATCCGTGGCTCCAGGATCAGCTAGCTTGGGCTTTCATGAACAACTCGTGGCGCATGCCCATCACAGTCATCCGGTGTTGTCCCAATGACTGGCAAGTTTGCTAGGGCAAAGTGATTTGGATACCATATTTTCTATCTTTGAAGTCAGCGCAGCTTGCTGTTTCACCAATCTTTGGCCTGCCGCAAGTGCAGGGTGCCACTTTTCTGGAACTAACGCATTGTCCATGGCAACACACGTTCTCTGTGCGATTGGTGTGTGTGAGAAGTTCAAAACGGCCGGGGTGTGTATAGATATTTTTTTGGGATTGTTGATGATGGACTTATCCACTCATTTCATTTGCGTGGGAAATCGCAAACACTTTTGTGTGGGGAAGGGAAAAAGGGAAAACTCGTCTTTAACCACTTCTCACATTGTTTTCAGTGCAAAGGGCTATAGGAATATAATATATACTGTATATATATAGACTATAAACATTTCTTTTTTGTGTTTGTTGTCCATCAAAGTGCCACTCTTTCTCCGTGGCCTAATGTGCTACTCCCCAAGGCACCATGGCGCAAGCTGAGCATACCTTAGTCTGTTTCAGTTCTTTTGAGTGGATTTGATGAAAAGGCGGCTGTTAAGTGATATGACAGAAACTGAACACACAATTCATATTTCAAAAGTTTAATACTCTCGATTGAGATATCGCGCTCAAACAAGGTTGGCATGCTGATAGGGATCTTCACATCGCGTGGAGACACACAAGTAGCCTGCGAGGCCCAATTGGAAGAGTTGGTTGCCTTCTTGTTTTTCTGATTTCATAGGATACTGCGTAGAACTCGCATGTTCATTGTCGGATGCATGCTTGATTGAATCCTTGCCTCACTAAGATTCTCGTTGTATTGTGCAGCGGTTTTGGTTGAAGTGCCACTTGTTTACGTCCGTTGTTTTTGCAGGAGGCAAGAGATGGCAATGACAATGGCACAGATGCCCAGGGGTGGCGAAACTTGCTGTTCCTCGCTACCTTAGTTTGTCAGCTCTTTGTTCCTTAAAACTAGAGATAGAAGATTCCACCAAGATGTCAAACACTTTTTCTTCATGATTCATGTCAAACACTTTTTCATTTTTTGGCAAAAACATTGAGATGATCCAAGGCGAGAAGTCTCAAGGCCAAAGACTCTTGTGGGGATACCATCCCCATCATTCGCCAAGATTTGTTTCAGTCAGATGCATCAGCCACAGCGTGGCTTGCAGGTAGCGATGAGAAGGACGGAGATCTCTGTCACATCGCAGGTTTCTTTCAATCCCCCTCATTCGGCCGAACTAAGCATTCTCGTAGCTCCAAACCCCAAATTTTTCAGATCCGGTGCTAGAGCTATGGCTGCCTCTCGAATATCAAAGCTTTCGCTTGACATATCCACCAGGACCGATCCAATGAAAAGAACAAGGAGAAGGATTCCAGAGTCCAGCAAAGATTGGAAACGCTTGTCGACCATTCATCACCTTTTTTGTTAAAATTGTTTAGTGTCTTAAGACGATTTCAAGCATAGCAGGACCGAGGCTGCAACGAAAAGAACAAGGAAAAACACCGAGAAGTGTGGAATTTGGTCAGCATCTCGTGATCTGTGTTCAAAGAATTTTTTTCCTTCTTTCCTGAAGTTTTTTCCTGAAAGAAAGAAGGCTATTTTGTTTCCTTTTGTCCTCTGTGTTCGTTCAAGGGGCCAGAATTTTGAGGCGGCGAGTGCACGTGGCTGGTCACCAGAGGCCTGAAGCAGCCTTTTGGCAAAGGATCCCTTTCGCACTCTGCATCGCAAGTGTCAAGCTAGACTAAGCCTCAATCCAGGATTCCATCAGCGGTGAGGCGTGTGGGCCAGGAAGAGTGATGCCCCCACCTAGCAGACAAGCTTGAAACCGTGACAACAACCCGCTTGTTGTTTGGCATACACCTCATGTTCAGACCCAAGGGATGCTGCAGAATGCCAAGAACCGATAAACGCACTACAAGACCGAGAGCAAGCAAAAAGCAAGAACACGCCTTTCCAAATTGGGCACTTGGGGTTGTACCTAGCAGCTTGATGGCGCGGTTTGTCTCGCCTGCAGCCGACAGAATTGAGTAATGCCTCAAAGCAGAACTGATTTTGTGCCAGGATCCAAGTGATGCGTGGCGATTGGTTCGATGCCAAGCCAAGCTGACACTTTCTTTGTACTTTCAGTAAACCTTCACAGAGTTCTTCATTTGAAGGCTTGTTTGCTGCTTTGGGTAAGCCTCATTTGGTGCTGTCCTGTCGCTTGCTGCATTTTTGCTGAGGCCGCATCTGCTCGCGGGTGGGCACCGGGCGAGGAAGAGGTTCCTTCCTCAGCTCACATGAAGATGTATTTTGTTTCATACACTGTCTTTTTGGAGCTTACTGAAAAATAGTATATAGTCTATAGTAAATAGTGATGCCATCGTGCATCTTTGGGTGATTTTCACCTCGTTGGTTTAAGGACAACAGCTTGGCTGTTTACTTACCTTTCAGTACAAGCACCTTTTCATGGCAATTCTTCTGCATGGCTGCACGTAGCAAACAAACGCCCTGCGATCAGCAACGCTCTCCATTACAAAGGTACTAAGGAAAGGGGGGGAAACATCGACAATCCCTTATCATCAAGTCCTGGCACTCTCGAGAGTGTTCCAACGACCACCTCTTCTGCGGTTTGCCAACGTGTCTCTGGTTGTTCTGTCTCTGCTATCTAGGTCCTAGGTGACATCAGGCATTTTGACAGCTGACCAACACACCTTCCATTCATCCCATGCCCGCCACGTTTGCTTCCTTTTTGTGTTGTCCCAAGGGTCCACTGGCTTCAGTGCATCGACCCATAGGGGTCGCCGTCCGCCCCATGCACTACCATCTACTCCATGGTTCAACATGGTGCCACTCGAATGTGGCATGATCTTGTACTAGCTTCTGACCGAGACCTTTGGGGATCAACTTTTCCCAGGTAACAGGACTAGGGATGCTCCTGTCGTCTAATCTATTGTGCACTTTGCCGTTGATTTTACCAGTTTGCAGATTGCTCAACAAGAAACGCATGCTGAGGAGGAATCTTGGGCTGCACCGGCCAGCCTGCTGCTAAGAATAAATTGGATATAAACCAAGAGTCACACAAGGACCTGTCAGCCTGATGTCGCGAATTGCAAATGAATGCGTATCTTGACTTTGCATTGGCATTTGCCTCCAAACACTGCATCTCTGGCACCGTAGGTAGTGAGGGAAGCTCCGAGATAAGTCAAGCTCGCTTGGGCCTCAGCATATGCTGTTATACCAAGGTTTGACAACCGCACGAGATTTGGGGGTCTCTTTCAACAAAGCTCCGGTTCAGCAAGGTTCAACGATTAGCATGCTGCTCAACATCTTTTCTTCCACACCTTCAGAGCCTAGCGCTGAAGGTGCCTTCTATGGAGGGGAGCTTCCTAATTGCCTCCAACAAATTTTTCAATTTTCTAACGCGTGGTTTGAGCTTCCCCGTGTTGCGACGGAAAGAGACACTGGTGCTTCCTCCCTTTAGCGGGGATGGCAGCCGTGCTTGTTGGATTCACGATGTTTTCTGGTAGAAACTGATGACATACCATCGTAATCTTGCCAGATGATGAGCAGCTGCCACCCTCGCCAGAGTTGGATCAGTTGCGGCAAGCTGTGCTGCGAGCGGAGGCCTTTTACAGTGTGTTCCGAGACATGTTCGGTTCGGTTCGAAGAATTTTTGTTGCCTTGGAGCTTAAAGCAGACATGCACTGAGCAGACATAAACGCTTGGGATGGATTGCCCCATTTAATAACAGAACGGGTGTCCCTGAGAGTGCGGTTTTCCATTGATTTGCAGATGCTTTTTTCTGAAAATTTTGCCCCAGATAGAGACATTTCAGATATGACCAGATGCTTTGAGTATTCATAAATACAAAAGACTACAAATTTCCAGAGGTTTGGGAATCTTGGGTCTCCCAAAAAAAAGAAAACAATTTTCCAGAGGTCTTTGAACTTGGGGCTTCTGCAGAAAGAGTTCTGAAATATATTTTTGTTGTTTTTCATTTTTTTTGGTTCCTCTATCTGGCGGCCCAAGCAGACAGGGGACATCAATAGGATGAATGGCAAAAAAACATATCTAGTAAGCAGAGAATGGTTGTGGTGCAGTATCACAAGAGCAAGGGATTTTAACAATGTATATAAGAGACGTCTAGCTATCCCTGAGATGTATGCGATGTCGATAATGCAATTTGTCCCGCCCGGTATAACCGGAATTGCCAACGTCTGGTCCAATGCTCCTTCTCTTGCCGAGATGTCTGCGATGTCATGAATGCGATATAATCCGATTAGCATAACCTGCATCGCAAACATTTGGTCCACTTTTAATCATTTTTCAAAACACATTGAAAAGCATAGCATTTCTAGGAGAAAAATGCACCCCCCCCAAGCTAAAGCTTAGGATTTACTGTATCTAACCGGGTTTGTTCCCTTGCGATGTGGACACGAGCCTACACAACGCCCTCGGCACCTCCGGTGCGGGCGGATTTAAAGAACTATTATGTTATAACACTACTTAAAATCATAAAACAGCGCACTCTGACAAACACCCGGACTCTTTAATAACCAGCCTCCAGGCGGCTGGTGCAAGCTCTGAGCTGCTTGAACACGTACGGGCAAAGTTGGAGGAGCTTCTTGCCACAACTGGTCCAGTTTGGTGTCTCTTTGGTGATGTTCTGCAATGACATTCTCTGAATATCTATCTATTCAATGGACCTTTGTGGATGCATCTGAGGCTGGAACGAGAGTTAGCACGAGACGTCAAAGTTCACATTGTGAACGGCATGAGTGGAGAGTTGGCCGCCGTGGTCCGGGCCTCATGCGAATGCCGTGGATAGCTGGAAACTCACTATGCCTGTGACACCTAAAACATCATATAACCAATTTTTGATTGCGAATAGCTTTGTTTGATGGAAGCGAGATTGATTCAAGTGTCCATCTTTAGGTGCGGGCCCGACCATGCCCTGGCCTCAGAAAAGTTAACTGTGCGCCTGTCGGGAACTGATATCGCTTCCAGCTCGTGGTGCAAGGCATTTTTATCACATCCTAAGGTGACACTGCCTTTCGCCTGAAGGAAGCGATCCTGTCGGTTCTCAGAAGGGGAGCGAAGACGAAACTTCTCAATTTCTCCTTGCAGACTTTGACAGTTTTCGAGCCGAGGTCTGAAGGAGTTGTCAATTCCGAAGAGGATGGCTTGCCTCAGTCCGAGGATCCTCAAAGCTTCAACCAACATCTCTGCATTTGATACACCCCAGCAAAAGCTTTCCTGTCTTGTGCGGGGCAGATAAGTAGGATCTCACTTGCACTTTCATAGGAACATTTTCTTGCAAGGTGTTCCATCAACTTCCTGTGCTGCAACGAGCTCATGGATGAATCCATGACCCTGTCAGAGGCAGCATACTAGCTGAGCAAGATATTTTCGCAACTGCAGTAGGGCCTTGGGATGTGATACGATGTTTTGAACCGCCATCTCAGGATGTTATCATACCTGCTTGCTTGCTGGCTCAATAATCCGACATGATATGTATCTTTTCCTTCCCGTTGTACCTCAAAAAGAACAGCTGCAGCTGTTTCTGTTTTTTTGGCGTCAACGCGGAGTTCTGACCAGGTAGGAATCAGAGATGGTGACCAAGTGCAACTAGTTCGCTCCCCACTGCATGGCCCTCAGCAATGTTGGACTCAGCTTTGAATGTATATCCTGGCTCATTGATTTGTCTAGGGCGGTCCGGTTGCGGCTTGTGAGTCTTCTGACCTGAGCAAGGCGATGCTTGACAGCGTCACTAGATGGAACAGTCCGGCTTTGGCATCTCAATACGAAGGCGTGGAGCTTTTCAAGAGCATCGGCACATGCATGCTATAACAAGAAGGACTTCTGACTTCAGTTTTAGTCGAGGCCACTGACGACATCAATCCCTTCATCAGCTTCCGCGAGGAGGAGGCAAAATGGAAATTGCCTGCAAAGCTGACAGGATGCCCAGCTAGTAGGAGACACTCTAAATTGCTGGGATTACCAACATTTACTTAGGAGAGAGTGTTCATTGTCTTTGGGTTCAAGCAAGGGCCTAAAGGCCCTGGGGGATGATTTGGTGCTTATGTCGCTTAGTTCGTTCCGGATAGACCGGGCGGACCTGGCTTCCACAGCATCTGACCGATGCTCCGAAGATTCTTTTGGTGTGGTCGGCTCGGTGGAGGATCGTTTGAAAACTGATCGCTCATCCAAGCTTGCAGCCTTCAAGGAACGCCAAGTGAAGAACTTCCAAAGGCCTCCTATAGCCTCTGTGGCTTCCACCAGCTCCTTGAGGCGCTCCCAAACGGAAGGCGCAGCTGAGTCGTCGGAAGTCCTGTCATTGAGCCGGCTGAATACCGCCAGAAGCATCGATGGAGAGTCCAATTCGCCAGTACCACTGGTGAGTGACATGACGAAGCAGTTGGTAGAGATCAAGGAACAACAAGAGTCTGTCACACAAAAGATTTTTGCGGCCATTGCTAGCAGCGATCAGGTTTCGGTAGAGACAAAGAATCAACTCTCGCGCCTTCAAAGTAGACTTGAAGAGGTGGAGGGCGAGGCTTCCCAAAAAAGAAGGGAAGTGCTGCAGCAGTTGTCGCAGCTGCAAGAGAAATTCAAGGAGCATCAGTCACACAATTCGGAGTTGAAAGAAGGACAGCAGGAACTCAAAGCTGCTTTGACTCGGGAGCTGGAGGGCCAGAATGCTTCGTTGAAAGCCTTGCAGCAAACATCAAAGGAGGCACAGGCGCAACTTGAGGAGTTGAAAGTTGATGCCCTGCCAAAGAAGCGGGTTTTAGAGAGTCTCAAGGTTGATATGGAGCAGCTACCAGAGCTCTGTCGACTGGTGGGACAGCAGGGCCGTTTGATTGATGCAATCCGTGCTCAAGATCTTGGGGAACGTGTTGGTGAGATGCAGCGCGTGGTAGAGACCCAAGGTAGATCTCTGGAGGCCCTCCGGACTCAAGAAGCAAGCTGCAACAGCGACATCCAACGGAGCTTTGAAGCCAACATGGCCGTTGTGCAGTGTCTCCGCACCAAAGGAGAAGAGACAGGTCAGCATGTAGCTGACTTGCAGCGGCTTGTTGAGTCGCAATCAAGGACAGTGGAGTCACTTCGCTCCCAGTCACTCCAAGTACAGGAAACTCTTCAAGGCCAGGATCCTGACAAACGCTTGAGTGACTTAAAGCGTTCAACCGATGGCATAGCAGAGCTCTTTCAAGAGCTGAAAGGCCGAATGCTTGAGAGTGCCTCAAAGTTGCAAGAGGTCAGCAGCTTTCTCGAAAAGCAAGAAACCAATCTTCAAGGTCTCAGCACTCAGAGCAGCACTATGCATCAATCCTTGACTGCAGTTCTTCTTGAGATCCTCTCACAGCTCAAAGAGCTTCCTTCGGAGCTGGGCACCAAAGTGGCTGAGCTGAGCCAGACGATCTCTGAGGTCGTAGAGTCATCGCAAGAACAAAAGCTTTTCTTGGAGGCAGCACAGGCTGGAATCAACAACATCAAAGAAGAACAGAGTAGGAGTTTCGGTCAGCTGCAAGAACGCCAACAAACTTCTGTGGGAAAGGTGCAGTCCACGCTCAGTGAGTATCGAGCTGATATGGCTGCTTGGCAATCTGAAGCAGCAGAGCAGCTGCAACAGGCCATGCAGACCCACGCGCAAGAGTTCCAGGCACTGCAATCCAAGATGGCCATTTATGGCACCCAGCTAAGTGAACAAGACAGGCAGCTTCAACAGCTGACCAAGACAGCTGCCACACAGAAAAGCTTAGAACAGTTCATGCTGAAGATGGACGCCCAGCACAAGGCTCATGTGGAAGAGATGCACCGCCTCCAAAAGTCCTTTGCCAATGAGTCGGAATGTCAAGGCCTTCGCATGGAGCTGGATGCCTCGAAGAAGAGTCAGCGCTCCCTTGAGGGCCAGCAGGCAATCCAAGAGAGATCTTGGGAAGAGGAGAGGGGACAAGGTACAAGAGGGAGCGGGGGTGTGTAGTGTAACGCACATACACAAAGAAGGGGTGACAGCCAAAGCAAACTGATGCTAACCTGATGTTGCAGAATTTCTGAAATACTCTTGCCAAGTTTCTCCAGAGATTTGTCAGTAGTTTCCGTGCTGCTTGATAGGTATGCTCTCCTAGTCTGCTTGAACTTCACACTGTTTGACTTTGTGCACGCCAGGAGAGAGCCAAATTTGAGAAGGAAGTGGCCCGGCTGCAAGCACGGGAAGCTAGCCTTGTGCAGCAATTGCAGCAGGCAATTGTTGAAGTGCCCATCACGCAGATGACGGAACCTGTGGAAGCAGAAAGAAGTCTAAGGAGTTTCCTGCCACCTCCGCCCAGAAAACCTCCCTTTTTAACCCTTGGGGTTGCGGCGGTTGGCGGGCTCCTGCTGGCAAGCCTGGCGGCCCACTTCAAGTGGCACAAGGCTCCTGAGCCACCAAGCAAGCCGCAGGGTTTTAGGGTATCTAGGGTCTTCAGGCGGGTGAAGAATGGGATCCACGTCCGCTGAAAAGAAGCTCTTTTGCTGTCGATTCGCAGTTGAATTCAGAAGCGTCCCTAAGCACACTCTCACGTTTTCTGCCCACGGCTCTTGACAGAAAGACGATGGCTATCAGCAAACTCGAGGGATGAACAGAAGCAGACATGGGCTATCTAGAATTGCATTCAGCGCAACTCTTACTTTCCTTTTAGTTTGTCATGGGCTTGTGCTTCGCACCCTGCTTTCCATTCCAATTTGCTGGTTTGAGCCTGAAGAGGCTTTGGACAGCCTTGGGCCAGTACTTTCCGCATCTCTGGCGTTAGGAGCTTGAAGAGCCTGAGCTACTTTACAGTACAGATTCCTAGACAGCTTTAGAGTTTAAAGACGCCAAGCAGCTCCTCCACTTTGAGTATCATGAAAAAGACCAGCTTTGAGGTTGGGAAACTTTGAACTCTTTATAGCACTTCTTTAGACACTTCTTTAGAACGCAATTCTATACAGTAATCAGCACACACACATATATATATATACTATATACATGTTCTGATTTACCTATTGTTTTTCTTATGGGCTAAGAAGCTCTGACCCAAGGCCTGACGGCCGGTCATTACTGACAGTTGCTGCCGGTGGTGAGGGCCAGATTTGGTGTGTGAGGAGCCTGGTTCAAGGGATGGTTCTGTCGCGGGTTTTGCAAGCAAATAGCAATGAGCTCAATTCGGTCAAAATCCAGGAACCGTTTGTACAAGGAGTTCAAGGAAGCTTCTCCTGTTCTCCGGCGGGAGAAGCTTCCCTGAAGACCCTGAACTTCTATACAAGCTTATTTGCTACTTACTTGCTCTTGCAGCTTCCTTACGGGCTACCCCTCCCGCAAAGAAAGTTGAACAGGCGGTCTTGGTGGGCTTGATGGCCTAGGCCGAGACTGGCCGAGCTGTTGCAGAGCTTGAGGGCGCGGCTGCCGCATAGCTTAGGATATCTGGCACTCAAAGGCTTTTGCAGAATTTTCACAAATGCATTCTCCACATTCATTTCTTGTCTTTGGGAAACACAAACAACTAAGGCAACTGGTCAATTCTGCCCAGCCGGGCACCGCGTCCAGAACACAGCTTGCTGCGTTTGCTGTTCCATCTGGACAGTTTACGAGATCGTTGTGTTCTGTTGCTTCAAGTCTACAGACGGCAGTCGCTGTCGCTGCTGTGTTTGAGGTGGTGGGCTCGTCAAGCGATGAAGCTGCGCGGATTTGGTGTGCGAACACTGGAAAGTGCCTTCACACTTTGCAAGGCCATGCAGGTACGGGGGCCAAGAAACTGTGAGTGTGCCTTCAAGAGGTTTTGTATATATATATATATTGTAGATTGCAATTGCCCACACTGGTGCTTCACCCCCGATTCACCAAGCTCTTCACCGAGCGCGCCCCGCACGCTGCTTTTCCAGCAACCTCCGTAGTCAGTAGTCGTCCTATGGCTCTGTTCGTCCACGGCCAACGAAAAGATCGTCCTCGATCCACCACACCTAAGCCCTCCGGTGAGCCTTCCTCGAGGCGGCAAAGGCAGCGGCATTCAAGGGATGAATGCCCTCCACAATCACCGGTCTGGAGGTGAACAAGGTTTCACGAGAAATCACACTCCTAAAAAAAACTCTTGTTCTTTAAACACTAAAAAATGAACAAGCATTGGGATGTCTGTCGCATCCAGCATGCATATGGTGCACGATTAGGCCATCAACACAACAACCTCCTGTTGAAGAGATGTACCCCGTATAATCTGGTGATTATTTCCCTTGGTACTCTGCACACACATGGGCATCCGACGTGCCGGCATTCTGCATCCAAGTCTGTTTCAGGCGTCGTTCCGACCTTTGTTTCAAGATCACATCAACATCTTTGAGCAGGCATCTTCCATTTCTTAGAAATGTACGAAGGTTGCTAGTATCGATTTCTTTGGTTAATGTGTCGGCCATTTGTGCGGCACTATGCACCCACTTAATTAGGACCCCTTCCTTTAGTCTATCTTTGATCACCAGTGCTTCGAGCAAGGTACAATATTCACTGCACTGGGGTATGGTGGTTTTCTGGAGGAGGTCATACAGGCTCTTACAGTCTACAACTGCATATGCCGATGAATTTTGGTGAGGGTTTCATCAGGTTTGTTCCATGCAGTGGTCAGATCTCTCATCCAATGCCAGTGTAAACGGACCCAACTCAGTTGATCTAGGGCCCCCGACAACGCATATGTTTCTGAGGCAAGAGTGCTCGAAACAACTCTAGCGATTTTCTTGGAGCGCCAGACCAGGGGGGCTGACTTGGACTCTTTACTATCGTCAATGGTTGAGGTTGTCGCCAGGATGAACGTTCCTCTCTGGGAATGGGCTCGATCTCGGGAGGCGAATGCAGCATCTGAGAATGACATGAATCTGATTTGTTCTGGGGGAATGGATTGGATCCGGATTTGGACATCAGCATGTTTCTTGGCGTCTTCCAGAAGCCGGTTGGCTGTCAAGAGATCACCTGTCGTGGCATTCAGAATCTTGGCCTGCAACAAACTTAGTCTGCGTGAAAGGTCCGGCCGTGTGTTGGATGCCGCGCACTGGAGGCTGTTGATGAGCCCCCTTAGGGCTTGGATCTCTTTGTCAGTGGCTGGTGTCTGTGGTTCCTTTCTTCTCTCTCGGGAATTATCGATACTGTATTCACCCTGGTTCATTCTGATGTCTCCATTACATTCTTGCTCAACTTGTATACCAGTAAAGGTGAAGGATTGTTGTCGCTGACTCCCGAATGGAAAACGTTTCTGAAGCTGGTCTATTACTTGGGCAAAGATTTCATCTCCACCGCCCAATCCGTCGTCTACGTGGATGCCCAAAATAACATGAATACCTGGTGGTTGGGGCGACTTGGCATTGTACTTTGGTAGTGCAAAAACACAAGGGTCTAACGGGGAGTTTAGAAAACCGAGGTTCAGCAAGGCAGTCCTAAGCTCTTGTGCCACAGTAAAGGTGCGTTCACGAGGCCGTACGCACTCTTCAGCAATTCCAGCACTTCACCGTCTCTCAAGTTCAACTTTTTCCGCAATTCAGGGGGAGGTTCTACTCCTAGGATGCGAGAGTCTTGACGACTCCCTCGGAGGAAGGCCGTTGAGATGTCAAAAGACCTGACGGTCCATTGATGGGACGCGATGACTGCAGTGTCAACATCCTGCTATCTTTTCCCCATGTGGGGGAATCTCGAGGTAGATTTTCAATGTTGGGATCCATGTAATCCAGAATGACCAGGCGGGCTTTCGCTTTCCGGTTCGCACCAAGTGATGCAGCCTCAATGCTGTCAACTGGTTTCCAAGTCAGGACCCATCGAGCCTTCAGGAGTTGTCCCTCCGGGATCCGATTGCACAAAATGCGACGAATGGTCTTGGTCGAGAGCCACTGTGACAGCTCTTTGTCCTTGGCCTTGTCAAATTGGATCACTTCTTCTGGAGTTAGGTCTTTCATTTTTACCTCGACCCTCTGTCTTTTGGCCGCGGAGGCTATGAAGATTTCTTGTTCACGGAGATTCTTGACCAAACACTGTTTTCAGTCCTCCATGGTCAATGCAATTTCACAAACAACACCATTGGGTTGTGCTTCTTCCTTCACCGCTACCAGTGTAGATTGCCCACACTGGTGCTTCACCCCCACTTCACCAAGCTCTTCACCGAGCGAGCCCCGCACGCTGCTTTTCCAGCAACCTCCGTAGTCGTCCTATGGCTCTGGTCGTCCACGACCAATGAAAGGATCGTCCTCGATCCACCACACCTAAGCCCTCCGGTGAGCCTTCCTCGAAGCGGCAAAGGCAGCGGCATTCAAGGGATGAATGCTCTCCACAATCACCTTTCTGCAGGTGAACAAGGTTTCACGAGAAATCACAACATATATATATATACATACATATACACTGTAGATATTTAAGCCAGCCCAAAGGCTTCAGATTATGATCCGTAAAGCTCCAGTTGCTGCTGAAGCCATTGGCCCAAGAGTCAAGTGACCTACTGTACAAAGCTTTGCAAATGGCTGCCAGATGCGCCAGCCTTATGCGAAAGGGAAGCCAGCTGGAGTGGGTTCAACATTCCTGTTAGATTCCATGCCGGACTGTTAGATAGCAGACAAATTGCTACTCAAAACTAAAAGGGCCTCTTCATTCTTTTCATGAAATCAGCGCCGCCCAACACTCCATTTCGATGTTCTCAGTCTTGGATGGGAATGCTAAGAGACTGCAGTGGGAGATGACTGAGAGGTGTCTCGGTTCTCTGAGGTCTCTTCGCTGCGGTGGTGGCGCCGCTTGTGTTTGCTGAAGCTACTGTGCTGGTCACAGGCAGACGCCGAAAGCGTGAACCAGTGAATGCCGGTGCAGAGTTTTGCGTAAATTTGTGCGTTCAAAGCCAGGGAGTAAGGCAGTAAGGGGTCAACGATAGTGCGTGAATTTACTGCCTACAAGCAAGGTACGTTTATCAGGGGACTTAGTAAGGGCCTCAAACCAGGTCGCAGGTGTCTCAGGTATGTCTGGCTGATCAGGCCAGATAGCCCATCCACAATCGTAGCTTTGTTGCGCACGGTAGGTTGTGGATGCTGTGTGCCTTTGCTGGACCAAGTATGTCAAAAGACGACCTATGAATCCAATCCGTACCCGTCTCGCTGAAACCGTTGCACCCAGACTTGGTGGTTTGAGGTGCGACAGGACGAACAGGAAGTCTCCTCTACCGAGCCTTCAAGGAGGGAGGGATCCCAGACCCGAGACGATCCTCGACTGGGCCCTTTAGGCCCTAGAAAGCAGTCCAGTCGCTCGTTGTGGCAGCGGCTCTTGTGATTTGCCAAACTTTGCAGGAGTATGGGTCCAGTCCTGTGAGAGCGCTTGTGCGCAACCTCACAGAGGTCGAGATTGGATGTGTTTGTCCTGGAAGTCTTGTTAAGTCAATGGGTTCTTCTGATATCCTTTGTTTGTTAGTCGCACGAAGAAACTCATTCTTTGCTGCACAGTAACGTTTTCCTTCGAACCAAAAGCGCTCTCA